GATCAGGTAGCTGCGTTACGCTGAGCTAAGTTCATCACCGGGTGAACATTATCAGTTCCCGATGTTTAGGTTGGGTTTGCCCGATACTTTCCCGATGTAAACCGAACGAAATTTCTACTCGGGTTATATCGTCGCTATATTAGCAAGATTACATATCATAAATATATCAGAGACATACTTTTGTTACTGACATTCTGTAGTACAGGTAACATACATGTATGTTACTTGTTACATAACTCGTTACCTCGTGATACTTGCTATTATGTATTTTATACATATATGTTACATTACTGTGTTTGCTGGGTAGTTACACTATGGGAAGACTTTCGACATCAAAGTCGATTTTATGTATCCATTACGAGGACACGTAACGCGTGCATGTCTTATCTCTACCTTCTCTTCCGACGCGAAATACTTGCGACGTATTATCTAATGAGCTCGACATAATCGTGCATAATTGCGAGACGTGAATTTCGGACGAAGCGTTTAACGCAAAAGCCGACAGTGTGGGTGCCGAGATTTTGAAGAGGCGGTTGACAGGCGGTTACGAGTCGTTGAAAGGGTATGACGGGGGTGATCGTTTTGCGATTGACACCTCTCGGCAGCGGCGCTTGATGAAGTGGTCGCGGGGATCTGCCGACTCATCGACGCTCGTTATGTCGATCGCGTGCGGAGCGCGCGCGCTGGTGTGGGTGTCGCACGGGCGATACGGGAGATTACGCTATCGTGCCGTATACACGAGATCAACTGGCCAAAGTTTTCGTCGTTTGAGCTAATAGAAAAGTCGTGTCCGCCGTCAGCGCGCGGGATTTATTGTAAAACGTGACCACTCTGCGTAGCCGGCTGTCCCCGCGTGCGAATCGCACGCGCGCGATCACCGGAATTTTTCACGTGTAATAAAGGAAATAGAAAATCCCGTCGTTTCGCAATAACACGCCCCGACATAGAACTTACTTTCGCGCGAATGGCTGAAACCGCCGGAGAAACCGTCGCGGAATTTTGCCGCGCGAGGAGCTAAAAAATTGTCTAACCGCACGCGTTTCGATATCTATAGAAATTACGAGTGCTACTTAAGCGCGATGTTAATTAATCAACGTGCCAATTTTCGCTAGAGTAATATTTTCTAATTTTTTAATTAATGACCCCACAGAAAGTTTCATATATGTCTGGCGACTTTGAAAATAAATTACCAGCGGTATCTATTCGAGAATATAAAAATAATTTGAAGCGGCTAAAATTAAAATTAAAATTGTTCGGCATTTAATTATTTTTGCCGCGTAATAGTTAATAGAAGCTTTTATGCCACGCTTTTATGCAACATGTTTTCGTGGGCGTTAATGTATCCTCGTGTAAAATTCCTGCGTGTCGTCGCATTTTCTTAATTATCATCATTATATCCGCACCTAATTACAGATGTTAAGTTGATTCTTGCGGATACAATGGCAGAGTTATCGGCAACAATGAGAAATGGAAGGGAAGCAGTCCTTTAAGTTTCTCTTCGCTGTTCCGCAGACGAAGTTGCGCGCTACGTAGGGTTAGTTCCTACTTTAAGAACCAATTAGTTCTGGTTGCTATGTCTCGCAGTACCAGATGTACTGCCTTTGCCTGCTGACTGTATTATTCACAGATTCTTTGATAAACGTGGACTCGATCTCCTTTGAGTTAATATGAGGCTATCGTTTGCAATATTCTCTTTACTTTTACTTGCCATTATTTTTATTATTCAATATCGATTAATAACATTCGTACGCATAAGAGAGGAAAGATAATTTTAATACTTAAACGTCTCTGTTAAAAATATTTTATGTATGAAAAAATATTTTGCGAATATAATACGTAGCATACCTTCAAAATTATCGGGCGAAGAAACAGTACAATTTTGGTTTTCAATAAAATTTCCGCGAGAGAAGAAAGTAAAGCCGATTAATTACGAATGAGAAAATTGAGGGAAATCGATCGACAAGAGGCTCGGAAAGAAGAGAATGGAGATGCGAGTGGAGAGGGATGCAGATAGCTTAAAGGGCAAACTGTTGCTTTGGGTCTCAACAAGTAGGTCAACGACCGAACTACTGGATGGAGATTTGGGTGTCTTTAATGCTGTCCGTGGCTATGTGTGCGCGAGGTACGATCTTCTCGCATTCAATCAACATCCCGGTTGCTCTCTTCGGAAACGCTTCTCTCTCTCTCTCTCTCTCTCTCTCTCTCTCTCTCTCTCTCTCTCTCTCTGGAAAAATTCGTGGATATCTAGAACTGCGCAGCGCATCGCACCCGGTCTCGCAGTCTTAAGAGAATCTCTTATGCGTATTCGCGTGGAAAAATTTTGCAATTTTATAAAAATCAATTCCAAATTTAGTACGAACTACACTGACAAAACAATATCTTAATCCAAAAAAATATTACTTTACTCAAGAAAATTATTCATTAGGTGGCTCCTAATAGCTTATTAACTTAAATTTAAACAATAATAAACAAATTAAAACTTGCATTACTTTAAGTATAATATTTATTAAATGTCAAAGAATAGATAATTTTAGATTTTAAAAAATTTATTTTAATTCTATAAAATGTTTACTAAGATGTAATTTTCACAGCAAAGAAAATTGGATTTCTTATTTAACAATTATTTCATTTAATAAATAGTATTCTATATCTCCTGAAATCTTTATTTGAATGTAGAAAATGTAATGGTTTAAATTAATTTACTTAATATAATACATAGATTTACTTGAAATTTGATATTTTTATTTAAATAGAATAAATATTTATTTCAGCAAAAAAAATATTTAATAAATCTATTTAGTTAAAAAAATTTTTTTGTCAGTGTATGAATTGAAAATTTCAAATACCTACATCTTTTTTATTAGACTTCTGAACTGAGTCCTTTAGTATAAAAATGTTCTACTATGCGGTCCGCAACTTGTCCTGGTATTATTTTGTGCATAAAAGCCAATAAAAAGAATCACAAGCGCAAAAACTATATTTGACTATGGCTGAAGGAGTTCGCCAATTGCTGACGGATCCTCTTAATTAGCAATAATCGAATTATCCGACGACATAAAATTTCATTTTTAATACTTTAACCCTCAGTTACCCGCGTCGACAGGGTTTTTTTTCGCACCCTACACGCACATTTGCACGTAGACGCTCGCGATAATCCCGTTGACACACTCTCTTTGCCGCGTCTCATTGACGCTTTATCGTAATCCGGAGCAATTACGCCGAAGACGACGGGTGTTCTGGCTCCTCCCTTTGTCGCGCGATATTGCATGATAAGCGAGTTATGTCTTGTCGCGAAATCACGTTACCTCCGTATAAAATCACTGTATATTATGAAGTTCCGATCGTCGCACTACGCGGTCCCCGATATCCCGAATATCTTGAATATCTACAACTTCGTACACAGAGTTACCTCGAGTCCATTAACGCGCGGTACACGACGGACGGTACTGCGACACGTGCGGGACATTTTTCCGGCACTCGCGCGTTAACAATGAGCGCCGCTCGTTAATACCAACATCTCAGATCATGATTTACTTACATCGTCATTATCGCGGTGAACTGAATTTTTTCCCGACACAATAGGCAGAGTACGTCGCATGTTACGCACGATTTAACAATGATACTCCACGCACATCTCGGCAGCTGTCTCGCGGCGAATTGTCCGCCGGATTGTAACAATGGCACCACCTGTTAATTAAAGACGAGACGTGAAGAAGTCTTTATAAGATGAGCGGTCGCTTAGGAAAGACGGATGCTTTATATAAGATGTTTTAAAAAAGAGAACACGCGCGTCTTGGTTAAAATATAAACGAAATGAAAAGCTATTTACTTAATCTATAATTGATAATTATATTCTAGGCTTTCACGGATTATAAAATTAAACGTGAAATGTACCGGTGGATAAAAATATTTTAACCTTAAGATCGTTTAGTACTTTGTCATCTAAAATCGAGCTAAATCTTATCATAAAGTTCAATGGAATATTAAACAGTATTTTACGGTGACAGGTAATATTTATTTAAATTTCCGATGTTAAAATTATTTAAAATATTTACAGTCAGGAGAGATTTTTTTAAACGCCCCGTATAATTTTTATACAGACTTGCATATCGATATAAGGATTAAATGTACATTTGCATCTTAGTTAATCTATTTTAATCCGCGCTAGCAGTATTGCTTTTCTCGAGACAACTCATTGCGCATGCTTTTTATTGTATCTTACTGAAGTAACAACAAATTATTCATATAAATTCGAATATAGCAATGTCGTAGAAATAAAAGCATGATTCATATATTCAAACCTTATACATATATCGTTGTATCATCTTGTTGATAATAACTTATTAATACCGAGTAACTTTAAATGAACACAGAACGTTAATATAAATTTTAATGCAATATAAATTAATCGGAATTTTATATAAATAAATTTTGTCATAAAACGTATGAATTTGCTTAGTTATCGCCGACAAAATGATGTACGAACGAAATGACAAAGTGGAAGAAGAAAATGAGATTTAATCAGCTCAATAAGGAAATTCAATTTGCCATCTGCAACTTTATTTACGGTAGCATACACGGTCTATAAAAGTGTTCGCTCTTGAAGTGAAAAACACTTCACTTAGGCACGCTTCCCGTGTGTTTCCACTGGCTAGAATTTCTCAAAGAAGCTTTCTTTGTAAAGAAACAATCCAAGTGTTCAGTATAGCCGATTGGGTTAAGATTATTCGACGTATTTCAACAGTTTTAATGAAATCGTATTATAGCAAAAGCAAACGTCGATGCCAAGTCTTGTTTGCAAAGAATATATCTTCACACTGTAATACTAATCTTGCTATGCATTACGGTGCATTATCTCTTACGAGATAATATCCGTAGATATTAAATCAGATGAAAATGGAAAGGGTCTTTAGATTCATTAACCAGCAATACAATTTTCCGGGGGTCGAAGATTAAAGGGACCTAACGCGCCTACGAAAGAAACATTTGGTATACGCTCGTTTGCGACGGCACTCGTAGCCGAGGCCCCGTATCGCTTCATAGATAAATTTCAATTTAGCTCGCGCCTGGTTGCTCGCAAAATTAGAGGCGATTCGAGTCCAGGCAATGCGTTACGTTTCTTCCGCCGCGTATCGAAATGCGACTACGAGGAAGGGATCGGATGTAAATCAAACTCGGATAGCCGTGAAACGAGACTTCAGACGAGACGAGGTCAGAGACGGAGCCCTGGAAATAAAATTACGTCTTCGATCGTGCGTAAATGAATTTACCGCTATCCTATCGGTTCTTTCTTGACACGTTTCTGCCGGTTACACGAATCGCGAATAAAGCACGATACATTCTGCACTACATTTTTGTATAGGTGCTAATTTAAAAAAGTGGCGTGAATACTTTAGCTAACAAATACCGATTCTCATACTTATACAATTTTTTTCGGAAATGTACATAGACAAATTTTATTGTAAATTTATTACTTTTCCTTCAAGTGTTGACCACTTTGCATATTTACATACAATTTCGAAGTTATCATTCATACTTGTAACTCACACGGGTAAATAAAACAAGTGTCGAAATATTAAATTACTTAGAGACACATTTGTGTGACTTTTGATTTCGTTGGGATTGTTTCGAGTTATCTTGGAGTTCTTAGCGAAATAGCGAAGAAATTTCGTGAGAAAAGATTTAATTTCTTCAGGAACGCTGATATAGGTGTACATATGCGCCTTTAAATTCTATTATTATCGACCAAAAGAAAGCAAACGATATTCACCGCAGTATTTTAATTTCCTTCATTCCTTTCTCTTTCGTTTAATTACTATGGATTTAAATTGGATAAAATGTAAGCGAGCGATAAATCATTTTTTTCTAACTTTAAAAACTCGTTCCTGAGCCAAAAAGTCAAAACAACGTATACGTTAATCTCTTCTTACATCTCACATCTTACTAAAGATTTTACCGAGACTTACGAGAAAGAGAGAAGTAATTATGAGGGGAAAAAACGAGGCAATTAAAAACCGGAAAAAGATCTCACAGAGTCCCTCGGTTGCCGGTCTTGTCGATCCGGTAATCGCATTAGAGACGGTAATTACGACACCGCTTGCAGTAACGTGAAACCCGTAGGTCGAGTAAAGTACTGGACAGGGTTATGCAGATTGCTTTATAACCTTGTTACCGATCACTCTATTAACCTTACGAGGTTGAAGTCCCAGCCCTCTCGCTGGCTCGCTCCTGTGTCAGAAGCCGGGCGACAACGAGAGACGAAGGGATGATAGCATCGTCTTCTTGCCTCGCGCTTACGATGTTCAGCCACCGAGACTGCCCGGATCTTTTTTCGTCCTACGTCATTAAGCAGTCACGGAATCCACAATACAAGTTTGCAAATTTTGTTACGTCACGCGAGATGTAACTTCAATTGTTCAATTTCGAGACGTGACATGCGCCGCATTGAGAAGATATTCCGGAGTGACGACGTCGAGAGAAAGAACGGCTACCGGGAGCGGAGTCTGAAATCGCGCGAGAACTTATATCTGTCTTCTGCAAATCATCTTTCGCGCCGTCCCTCTCGATCCGACCGCGCTTTGACGCGAACCCACCGACGAAGACCGGTGCCAGGGACTGCGGATGACACGTGGAAATGAGGGCGTTTGTTCTATGGCCGCGGATCACGATCGGGAAATCCGGTGTTATGTGACTAAGGGACTACCAGAAGCGTCCCGGTCACCTCGGTGACGTGTCAGCGAGTCTAAAGATTCCGCAAACGTATCTGGCAGGCGAATAATACTGCGGACATGCTTAACAACGTTGATGTAGTGGTCATAGACACCCGACGCTATGATACTGACACCTGTCTCATCCATTTACGTGCAATTAATTCCAGTTTTCTTATCTTTCTTAAAATTTTTAATATCGACTAATTCAGTGATAAATCAATTAAAGCTGATATTAATTACGTAACGCAATTATTGAATGATACTTTATTCTAATAATATTGCCTAACTTTCATACTGTTTGAGCGTTGCACGGAGAAATGCTCTAACGTTTCGCTCCTTTGAAACGATAACGTTTGGCGAAAGTCGAATTTTATTTCTTTACCTTTGACTGTGTGTATGAACAAATTAAAATATAACTTGTGATGGCAACTTATTATCTTTGGAGGAACACGGTCATCGTGCACAGGCAGATAGTCTATTAATTATAATTAATAATTTGCATTAATTAATGCGAATTATTCGGTTAAGTGATGCTCACCGAGCACGTTACTTAAATGCGTAATACCGCAATATGAATTATTAATTAAACATTTAACAGCGTGATAACTCGTTTATACAAGCCAGTTAAATCCCCGCTTTCTACGTTTCAAATAATTAGACCGCATTATGCAATGATGAGATAATACGATTATAAATGCGTCCTTGATGAAGCAAAATTATCTTCCAAAAACTTGCGACAAGACGAAAGATATTTTAAAAATCGTCTTAGTTTTATTCTTTGAAAGAAAAAGTCTCTTTATCCCTCCTACATACATAGAGTCTATTTAAGGGGAGAACACAGTAACTCTTTCGCGCTTGCTAGCGTGTTACGTTAAGTGATAAAGCGCCGACGGCTATACGAATCGAGCGTAAGAATACTTCACCCAATAAATCGCGGCGCAGACCGTAAAATAGCCGTCGTATTTCTTACGATTAAGTCTACGTGACGTCGCGATCGAAGCGAATGATTTCGCAGGGGGAGAAATAGATGGGTGAACGGATGAGCGAAATTATATTATCGCCGCGTCTCTTTATCGACATACGGATCCCGTAATTTATCAGCGCGGATCTATCGCGAGAGCTGATTTATGTGTCGTCGGCCGCGTCACGTTCCACGTTAATTCGCATTAAATTGTATTTCTGAGGACAATACTCACCGAGATCGGTCGGTTCGGCCGGAGCGAGCGTTCCCCGGTCCTGTATCGCCGCTATCGTTGCTAGCCGTCGAGGTCGCGATCCGGCTGGCGAGGAGTGTCGGGGCACCCCGATAGATACTGCACGGACGATTGAGGGCGATAAGGGCGATAAGGGCGCATCTCACCTCGCTCGTGCCGGCCTGGAGCCGTCGCTCTCTCTGCTCACCACCGTCTGCGTCTCCCGTGCTTCTTCGACGTCCTCTTCTTGATCCTCGAAAAGATCCAGAAGCCCCCAGCCGCCGACAGGGCGCATGGTCACTGGGTTTCCCGCTTTCCACCCCTTCGCACTTTGCGTCCTCTCGCTCTCCCTTCTCTCTCTCTCTCCCTTCTCTCTCTCTCCCCCTCCCTCTCTCTCTCTCTCTCTCTCTCTCTCCCTCTCTCTCTCTCTCCCACACACACACACACACACACACACACACACACACACACACACACACT